ATATTATAAATAATGGGTTCAAAATGAAAGGCAACATTTGTAAATTATGTAAAAGTTAATATGCTTTATAATAATAGGTAAGTTGCTCTCACCTCTTTTTCAAAATCAGGAAGTAATAGTTTTACAAAGTTATCAGGGAATACTCCTCTTCTACCATTAAGTTCACCTTCCCACCAGCCAGCATCAATGCAATCCTATGAAACATGAAAGAGTGTATATTGAAAGACAATTATTCCATGAATCAGGATTCTCTTCCCTTGTGCACTGACAATAAATAGACAAATACATGGAAACAGTGGTTATTATGATATAAACATGCTCATATTTGTATATAAATATTTTGACTGAAAAGTCATAGCACTTACTTCAGAAAGTGGGAATTTTCTCCACATGCAATGTGGTGCTTTTACTGATATATGAAGGATCTTACTGCATTCTCAGGTTTGTGTGGGCCCCCTTTGTTTTGTGAAACACTGGTTTATTACAAAATAAGGGAACCTACCAGTATAGTACCTAGCTGAAGAACTCTCATTGCCACTGATCTATTTATATAACCTGTAACTCAAAGAGGTTAAACTAATTAAAATAATTAAAACTATAACACCTGTATATCAGCATGCTATAAAAATATGATTATTTTGATGGTGTAGAGGAAAATAGGTGTCCAGATATCTGGGATTTTTAAAAATTTGTTCTCCATCTACTGCCACCTTCTAGCTTTCTCTGCCTCATCTCCCAAAGTTTCAAGGTGGAACTAACATATCTGATCTGCAAAACTATGGATGATTACTATATGATGAAAATAAATACTGGAAACAATTTATTTGCTGCCATCTAATGGTTTGTTTGGATCTCTGCATCCTAGGTACGGTAGTCCAACTGGACAGTAAAAGTGCATGCAAGCATAAGATTAAGTTGGTTCCTTGGAGTCAAAAACTACTTGATGGCACATTATCATCATCATCATCATCATCATCATCATCATCATCATCATCATCATCATCCTGGTGCCTTAACCACTACACCAAACTGGCTCTCTAAAGAGAATTAAGTAAGTAAATTATTTCAGGCTGTAGCTCCAACCTAATGAAAACTGGGACTTACTGACAAGTCTCTTGGTGGTCTGAAATAGATCAGCAAGGATTCCTAATTACCCATTACTTGAAAATGACAACAAAATGACCCTTTTCCCCTCCCACCAAAATTTTACTGCTGAATTTAATAAGTGAAAAAGGAAGAGGAGACTAGTCATCAGGACTGGATTTATATGAATGATCCCTCCATTCACTTCTGGTATTCAAAATAAAGTTGTAGGTTTAGAATTCTCTAAGTTCAAAGTGTATCATTTAATTCATAGTTCTCACTGGTGGATCTTGGAGATTTAGTTTTGTTTTTGCTTTAAAAGTCAAATAGATCCTACTACATAAGAACATAAACAGTGCCCTGCTGGATTGGACCCCAGGCCAATAGTCCAGCAGCCTGTCCTCACTGTAGCCAACAACTGCACTAGGAAGTCCACTGGTCTCCCAGCAGATGGCCTTCAGAAGCAGTCACACTGCCATTAAGGCTAATAGCTAATGATCCCCAAGACTTCCATGAACTGGTCCAATCTTTTTTTTGAAGCCAGCCAGGCTGGTAACCAGCATCACATCTTCTGGTAGCAATTCCAATGTTTAATTATGCATTGTGTAAAAAAAATCCTTTTGTCTGTTCTGCTTCTTCTAGGACGCAATTTCATTGGGTAATCTCTGGTTCTAGTATTCTGGGAAGGGGAAAACAGCTTTTCCTTGTCCACGTTATCCACGCCATGCTTAATTTTGTATACCTCAATCACATCCCCTCTCATTTACCTCCTTTTTAAACTAAAGAGCCCCAAATGTTGCAACCTTTCCTCATAGGGAAGCAGTCCCAGCCTCTTAGCTGGCCTCCTCAGAACCTTCTCTAGCTCCACTATATCTTTTTTCAGATGCAGTGACTAGAACTGCACACAATATTCCAGATGTGCTCACACCACTGATTTATAATTGTATTTATAATATCTTTGTAATTATTTATAGATTTAGATTTAGGATTTATAGTATTTGATCCAGTAGGGTTGGTGTGCTGCCTTTGACTAAACAATGCCATATATCAGGACCTTGGAAGTGCATCTTCTTGCCCTCTTGAATGAGGTTCCCCCTGAAATCCAGATGGCCCTCACCCTGCTGGTATTCGGAAAGCCTTGAAGAACTGGCTCTTTGCCCAGGCCTTTGGTGAGGGAGACTGAAGCCTCCTTCTGGGTAATGTAGGTTGCTTGGTGGTTGTCCGGTTTTGTAATCTTCTGTTGTTTTTATCATTGTACCATTTTATTGATATGCGTGTTTTATCTGTGAACTGCCCAGAGTTTCTGGGAGCCCGGCAGTGATGTGTGTGTGTGTGTGTGTGTGTGTGTGTGTGTACAACCAACCAAACAAATAAACATATTAGGGCATTATAATATTGGCATCTCCGTTTCAATACCATTTCTTATTATCCCTAATATGCTGTTGCCAAGTTTGAAAAACACTGATGTACATTGTGTCAACACAAACTGTTTACCATTACTCCAAGTTCGTTTTCCTCATCAGTCACTGCTAGCTCTGATCCCATTTGTTTGCATGTATAGTTAGAATTTTTGGCACTAATGTGGGTCACTTTACATTTGCTCAGATTGAATGACATCTGCCATTTTGATGCCCACTCTCCTAATGTGCAAAGATCCCTTTGGAGCTCTTTGGAGACTCTTATTGATTTTACCACTCTGAACAATTTAGTGTCATCAGCAAACTATTCCACTAATCATGCCCAATTCCAGATCATTTATAAAAAGTTAAAAAGCACTGGTCCTAGGACAGAACCCTGGGAGCCTCACTAGTTACATCCTTCCATTGTAAGAAATGTCTATTTACTCCTGTTTTCTATACTTTCGCCATTGCTTATCCACAAGACAACCTGCCCTTTTATCCCATGACTGTTAAACTCAGGGATGAGGCTTTTTGAAAATCTAGATAGATGATGTCTACTGGCTCGCTCTTATCTACGTGTTTATTCACACCTTCAAAAAGCTTTAACAGATTCATTAACAGATCTTCCTTTACTGAAGCCATGTTGGGTATCCTTCAGCAAGATCTGTGCCTCCAAATGTTTGGTAATTTTATCTTTATGGCAATTTCCAATATCTTCCCTGGATAGATGTTAAGCTGACAGGCCGGTAATTTCCTGGATCTCCCTGTGAGCCCTTCTTAAAAATTGGAGTTATTTTGGCCACCTTCCAGTCCTCAAATACGGAAGTCAAATATAGAGACAGGTTGCATATTTGAATTATGAGGTCCATAATCTCAGCTTTGTATCTGTTTGCTCAGCTTTCTTCTTGAACAGGATTTTTACATTTTTCAAGACCAGAATAGTCCCAAATGTCTCTTGAAAAAAAGAGAGGAAATAAACTAATATTGAAATAAAATAGCTTAAATAGTACTCTTTACTTTTACCTTACATTTATTATGTATTAATAGAAATGGTTTGATAGGCTGTTCTTAAGATTTCAATGTCTATAGTAAATTATTAGCTAATTATTTCCATACTTTATTTTAAAAACAACTGAAATGCTCCCAACTAGGTTTTTCAGTAATGTACTTAGTTGGAAACTAATGGCTCTTCCACATGGCAGACTCAACTGCTTGTCTCTAATGCATAAAGAAATGAAGTCCATCCAGTTTCGATCTTTTCTCCCACTTTGGCCATGGTGATATTTTCTTATGGTACTAGCTCTTTTGAAATTATGCGCTCCAAACACCAGGCATCATGCTCAAACACAAGTACTCAGTTTGATCAGTTTGTCCAATGCAGTGTTTTTCTATAAAATGGTATGACTATTTTTAAACAGAAAGTGTATATTTACCTTATTGACAAGAGTAACAATATCACCTTCTTTGATGGTCAATTCATCTTCATTCTGTGCTTCATATGGAAATATAACTTTGCAGTACTCCTTCACTAAAAGGAAAAGTAGCATATTTCAATACACTTCACCAACTCCAGAAATGAATGTCAAGAAAGAGAAATTTGCTAGGTCAAGAAATTTTAGAATTATATTAAAATAATTCTCAGTGAACTGTAATGAAGATTTCTGCAGAAATAGTCATTAGCTGCAATTCATGTCAGAAATGTTTTGTTAAACCCTTGCTATATGGCAATACTACTCTTTTTCTGAATTTGATGCTATGAGGAAGAATCTTTATAAATATGAAAATGGAGGAGTCTGTCCACTACTTTTATGAATATTCTGGCTCTATGCAAAGAAAAATGTAAATGTACTAGAATTCTTAAGATGTCTGACATGTTCCATTTGATATGAGAATAAAAACATCACAGTCCAAATTTTACTTCTATAAAAGAAAAAAACTGCAGTTTAAATATGTGTTTTCATTTCATATTCTTAAAGTATTCACAACTAGTGTTAGCCCTTTGAGATAGACCACACTTGGAAAACAAAGTTATGAATACTAAAACCACTGTTATTATAGGGTTACAGTTACAGAATCTTGCAAGTATGAAAGCGCTCCTCTTTGCCTTTATCTACAACAGAACTAGGGAGGGTCAAGTCTGAGATGTTTTCTCAAACTACATTTCTGCTTTGGCTTCAGATTTTTTTTATCTGACCGTTGTCTTGGCTGCGGCTCTTCTTCCTGTCCCTCAAGGTTATTTTCACAGCCCATTACAACCAGTCATAGCTTTATCGATTTTTGTGATAAATGCCATTGCCTACATTTGTAGGTTAGTATCATAGATACCCCACCCTAAGTCATGCTGTGCTGCTTGTTAGGGGGGTGGCAGTGGGATGAGTGAGGAATGCTGGGAGGGTATCCCAAAAACATGCAATCCCAGCAGGGTGACCCAAAGCATGAAGGTCATCCCAGCTGCTCAGCTTAAGCAAACAGACACCTATATTGGGCAGCAGCAATCCAGTGGAAGATACTTAAGTGACAATAGCAAAGGCATCAAATCATACTGTGCAGGAGAAGGCAATGGTACACCACTACTGTATTTTTGCCAAGAAAGCCACATGGATAGAAAATATAAATATAAAATGATTGACAATACACTGCCAGAAGATGGGCCCCTCAGGTTGGATGACACTCAACATGCTACTGAGGAAGAACTGAGGATCTTTCAGAATACTAATAGTGTTAATGATGTGGCTGGATTAACACTATTTGGGATGTCTAGTTGTTGATGTTGATGTTGCCATGTAGAAAAAGAAAATCCAACGCTGCAAAGACAGAATTACATGGAATTCTGTAATGTAAGAAGCATGAATGTGGGAAACCTCAACATAGTGAAAGATTAAATTTCTACACATTGACATCTTAGGCATTAGCAAACTGAAATACAGGTAGTCTTTGTTTAGCGACTGCCTCAGAGAGCAACCATTCACAGTTACGATGGTGATAAAAAATAACTTGGCAACCAATTCTCACATTTACAACCTTTGCAAGTCTGTACAGCAAAGGAAAGCTGAAATAAGATTGTAAGCACAGTCATGGTTTCACTTAGTGACCATTTCACTTAATGACTGAGTTGCTGGTCCCAATTTTGGTTGCTAGGTGAGGACTACCAATAGATTGGAATCAGACCCTTTCATTCAGAAGTTCACACTGTTTATTACTCAGGACGTGAAAAACAAAGGAGAAATAGCATTGCTTTTATACAGTGGTACCTCGGGTTACAATCTTAATCTGTTCCGTGACTCTGGTCACAACCCGATTTGGTCACAACCTGAAGCAAATTTTCCCATAAGGTTCAATTAATTACCGCTAATCCGTTCCGGCGTCCGCAGACCACGCGGCAGGGCAGAAAAACGCCCGTGGACCATGCTGCAGGGCGGAAAAATGGCCGCGGACCATGTGGCACGGGCGGAAAATGGCCGCGGACCACGTGGCACTGGCGGGAAAAAGGCCGCGGACCACGTGGAATGGGCGGAAAAAGGCCGCAGACCACGTGTCATGGCGGGAAAAGG